AGAAGAAACCGTCTCTAGAGGATTTTACAAAAGACCTGGCATCCAAAATTCTCTAGCGTCTTTAAACTCTTAGAGATATTCGTCGAATCCTTACGTGACTGCCCCACATTGATTGTATTTGAAAAAACAGAGTCTTCAAATTTTCCCCATGACGGTAAACGAACTATGAAGGCAATAACTTGTTCATGTTGAAGGTCTTTAGGAGACATACCCCCTGGATATGATCATTCTTGAAATGATTCTCCAGTTACTTCATAGAGCTTCAGGCCTAAAGATTAACTCATCATTGGTGTTTACATGTAAGCTTCCTTGATATCAAACAAGTGTTTTACAAGCAGAAAAAGTTTATTCTGAGAATGAAAATTCTAATGCAACAGATATGTAAGTCTTAAAGATTTTGAAAAGATATCGCACAAACTTTGCGAGTTAGAGCAACATTTATTTTTGTATAGCAAAAGCATATGACACCAACACAAATATTTAACAAAACTTATGAGAGTCAGGAACGCAATATTGTCGAAGTATGTTTTCTAAATAACCTTGCTTCAAATTAGGACTTTTGAGGGTTGTAACGTGGCATGGTTCACGGTTTTAGAAAAAAGATTTTAAGGCTAAAAATATTTGGTGCCCACCCCCTTCATGATGTTCTTCAGTCCTATATTCAGTTAATTTGATACTAGTGTTCATTTCTCAGAAAAAATATTTTGCGATGGTTAAGGAAGTGATAAGGCTTTTAGAGTAGCAGTCACCCTTCTTGTGTTTGTGTTTGTAGTCACACGAATTTGTTCTTGGCTGTGGACTTTTCTTTGTAGTCCTTTCTTTGCAATTTTTTTGTTTTCCCTAACTTTTTCTTGAACTAGTTCTTTTAAATTGATAGTCCAATGGGATACCCTCATTTTTGCCTAAGTCTCTTATTTTCAAGTTTTCGACTTAGCGGGCTTTTTTTCTTGATTTATGAACAAAACGTTTGACATTAGCTTATCTTTACTTGTTGGGAGGATTGTTACTGCCTCGTTTCTTGATGGATGAGGGATAACCATTGTGGTTTCTCATCTTCTAGCCTCATGATATATGAAGGATAGCCATTGTAGTTTCTCTTCAGAAATATCTTCCATATGAATTTTGAACACTCGATTAGATTAACTGAAAACTACCCTGCCCCAGGTTAAAATTGAGGGTTTTTCTGTATAGAAAAGAAACTCCTACTTCAAGGCTCAAAAGGGGTTAATAAGGGATTATCTTCCTTATATCTCCGGTGTTTAAGGATTTGAAATAATGCATGTACATCCTCAGCAAGATTTTATCCAAAAGCATACAACTTAAGATTTTTGCGTTTTTCATATCATCATCCTCCCTCCAATCTCTGCCTAAGCGAGAGTTTGGTCAAAAGATTTGGTATCATAATGCAAAAAGAAATTTAAAATTTGAAAACAAATATGAGTGAAACGATGAATTTCTTCAAGATAAACATACTCATTGTATCAAGATAATCATTCAAATGTAAACAAGTTCTTACATGCAAACATAGTGTTAACAAACATGAAAGATTACAAGGGAAAGCAGTAAAAATAATAATAAACTGAGAAGACTCTCTCCGTCTGGACTTGAGCTGCTGAAAACATCCTTCAAAACTTAGAGTAACCATAAATCATGTTTACTCTTCGGAAAATGCTTGATTTGAACTTCAAGACCAAGGTCCTTGAATGACAAGATACCACTTCTGACCAACTTCTGGACTTCAGCTTTCAATGAATAAAATGTTCAATGTTATGCCCATGGGCTCCATGATGAAGGCACAAGTTAAATTAGCTTTGTAGTACCAAGGCATCTTCCCAGGAATCTTCAGTGGAAGTCGAGTCTGAACCAAATTCCTCTGCATCAGGACAGGAAACAACTTCGTATAGGGCGTTGGAATTGGATCAAATTTAGTTTTCCTCTGATTAGGAACTTGCTGATTCTGCTGATGAACTGGAGCTGCATAAGGTAAATTGAACACAGGGATGATAGGAGAAACATGATGATTATGGCGATGATTATTTCTTCCTCTGAATCTCTTCTTGGAAAAGTTATTATCAAACTTCTTCACACCACTAGCTAAGTCACCATCTTCATATAAACATCCCTTTCGAACATCTTCTTCTAGATGCATTCCCACATTCACTTTGTCAAGAAAGTCACTAGGTGCATTAATTATCAGCTTCTCACGAAAGAATGATTCAGAGTTTTAGTGAAGACCTTTGCCATCGCTTCTTCGTTCCTAGAAGGATTGACTTGGATGGAAACAAAAATTTCAACCAAACCAATTAAGTGCTCCATACTAGCTTTCAGATTAATCATCTCTCTGTGGAGTTTAGAAACCTCTTGCTTGATATTCTCCATTGTTCTCTTAGCGCGAGTGATGTACTAGTGAGACCAAAGGAAAAATAAGGCTCGGGATTGACTTTTGAAAATGAAACAAAAAATGTAGAATGATGTATGATATGCAAAGTAGAGTTTTTATTTTATTTTCAAGGAACTCAAGATATTAAGTTGTAAACATCAAAGTATGAAGATAGAAACTGAATTTTAAATTTGATCAAAACATTGATCAAGTTATCAACGAGATCAATCATCCATTTTGGTGGATTAAGGTGTTCACCCCATCAACACCCAAGATCCATTAAGCTTGACGAAACTTGTGATGTTTACAAAGAAAGACTTCTAAATTCCTTGAAAATCAAGTGAAAGGGGTTTCATGGATGCATGAAGGCATGGCTATGCAATAACCATAAGCAAGGTCACAAACAAAGTTGAAAGGTTCAACATCACGAGAATGGAGTCAAAGGTAAAGACCACCCCTCAAGGTAGGTACTAAAGGTTTAATCACACCTGTAAAACAAGGTTATAAAAGGTTCCCACAGTCTACATCTTTCCTTCGGATATTACCAACGTCCCAATTACTCGATAATCAGTAATATTCGCAGGAAAAACTCGTCTGAGTGCAGCATCGCGTGACAACTACTTCCAGATTACTCCGTTATAATCTCCTCACAACATATAAGAGGCTAAGATGGGTTAAGGGTTCTACTGTTCTCAACTTCTCTGGCTCCCAGGTAGAAAGCAGTAACATCTTCCCGATTACTTGGTAAACGAATACTACAGTCAAAGGGGCTTCCACTGAGTGAGGGATTTCATGTCTCCTTCTTCGAGATTACTCCCTCAAAGTTAACATGACTATACCACCCGTCTTAATCTTAAGTGTAACTTAGTCTGGGTATAGGACTTATCCTTTGTAATCAACACCCAAATAACCACAATACATCACATATAATCAAACAAACAAGTAATAATAACAAAAAAACAGATATGACAAATTAGGCTTAACCCACTTACAGATGGACCAGCAAGAGGTCAATCTTTCCCCAGCAGAGTCTCCAATTCTGTAGCGGTGAAAATCAGAGATTAAACTATTAATTAACTTGACTCACAAATAAGCAAGAGTTTCCACTGCGCTTTATTATTTCCAATGGAAAAGGGGAAAGAGCGAAATAAAACCCTTGAATATGCAATGTAAAGTAATACTTAAAATTAATGAAAATACAATGCATTTTTGAAAGAGGTCGAAGGTTCGGGGGTTGGTTATACAAAGAAAAGGTACTAGCACCCAATGCATCTGTGGTACTCCGTAGTAACCTTTTGAAATATCTATTTTTTGGTTAAAATTGTTTGTTTGGTCAAAATGGGTGTGAATGAGATTTTGAAGATACGACGACCTAGTGTCGAAGTTTTAAAAGGTGTGAGTTATAAAATTGAGTCTTTTAGGAAAATTAACTTAAGATTAACAAAATAGTAAAACAAAAATGAATGAAGGGATTTGCACAATCGTATAAGATGTATTTGATGACATGAAGTTAACAAAGTTAAAACATTTCTCTTGGAATAAATCGAGCGAGAAAAATAAAATGGACATCAAAATATAAGCATTCGAAAATTCACAAGAAAATAAATCTAACAAAACAGATTGATGACCAAAAGGTACCGAGAAATTAAAATGAAGGAGATACTTAAATACAAATAAAGAGAATTTAACTAATTATCTAAAGAAGTTATTTAAACTAAATTAAAAATTACTTACTAAAATAATTCTAAACTAACTACAAATTCTAAAGTTATAGAAATAATTATAAAATTACTAAATTAGATCTAAACTAAAATTTTAAAATTAGTAAATTAAATCTAAACTAAATTAAAATTTGGAGGTTACTAAATTAAATCTAAAACAAATAAAAATTTTAAAGTTACTAAACTAAATCAAATGAAAATTCTAAAGTTATTAAAGCTCTAAAATTATTAAATTATGTCTAAACTAATTTAAATATAAACTACGTTAATTATAAAATTCTAGTCTAAATCTAAGCTATTATAAAAATATTAATCTAAACTAAATTAATCCTAAAAATTGCTAAAATTATATTTAAACTAATTTATTCTAAGATCAATAATATAAAATTAAACTAAGTTATTTAATGAAAAAAAATGGTGTGGAAACATAAAATTGGAGATGGAGATACCAGTTCCGAATGGGCTTAGGAAATCTGGTTGAGTTGAAGCCCCAAAATGCTATGAAAAAAAATAAATTAAAAAAATGATGTTTCACACAGGTATCGAACCCAGGTCCTCACGCGTTTCAAAGACATGCTCCAACCTTTACACCAAATTGTTCATTCATTATATTCTCTTAATCAAAAACTATAAAAACACAAAAATTGTGAAATGGGTTGGGCTAGGCCCATACCCGGATCCAGGTTACTAAGAGGGAGCGGGGGAGTTTTCTGGAACCCTAATTATGGAAAGAAAAAAAAAAAGAGGCGTTGAATGATGTATTGGGAAGGGGAAAATCATGTTCAAATATTTTTATATTTTCGATAAACTCAGTTAATTCCAATAGAAAAGAAACATGCTAGACTCTTTCAATTTTCATTTGCCCTCCATCTACTCTATCCCTCTTCACAGTCAGTTTTCTATCCCATAAACTTTTTTCCATCAAGATTTTTAATTACTGCATTACAATCTTCAACAAAACTCATGGTGACAAATGCAAAGTCTCTACTTTTTCCAGTGTCCATGTCGTAAAGAACCTCAACTAGTTTTGCGCTACCATAATCCTCAATTAACCCTACAAGTTGTGCACTATCAACACTATAAGGAAAATTCCCAAAATAAAGCTTAGTCCTAGTGTCTACTTCTGCTACAATCTCCTCTCCATTCTCATTCTCTTCATCTTTAAGGCTGCAGGGAATCTATTTTGCAAACCAAAGTACCTCAAACTTAGAGCTCTCTCAAATTCAACCATCTCTCTCGATTTCTCTCTACACTCTTCAATTTATAAAACAACAAAAAAATCTCAAAATAAAACAATCAAATATTTAAATCAAAAGAAAATGAAGCTACCGACAATAGGGATCGGTTGTCATCGGCGGAATGATGGTGAAATGAGGTTGTTCTAGCGGTAAAGTGTTGAGAAGATAAGTATGACGTGTGCGTGTTTGACCAGAGGTGGTGAAGGTGAGAGCAAAGGAGAGAAAGAGGGAATCAATGAGGCTTGAAGGACGACATCGTCTGTGTTGCTGAGTCATGTGTTGCCCGCGAAGGAAGGTGTTATGCATGAGAGGAACGATCGGATGTCACGGTGATTGCGCTGTGACGTGCGGATTCAGAGAAGTTCAAAGGTTAAGGATAATCGATTCATCTTCGCTCTTATTATTTATTTTTTAGTTAAGTTGGAGTTGATAGATATGTTTGGTTGCTTTGGTTATTACACTTTGCACACAATGTGTTTGACACAATTCCTCAACCAATCTCTTTTCTCTTATTGTTTGGATTTTTGTTCTATTTCAAATTTTGAGTATGATGCTAGTAATGGATTTGTTTTGGTGAAAGTGGTTTGGAGGAATTTTGTGTTTTTTTTTCCAGAGTTTCTCTACATTTTTTTCTGTTCATGAAGGTGGTCTTTTATAGTGAAATATGTGGTGTTTTAGGGGGGGAAAGTGAGACATTTGAACAACTATGAATGCCCTATTTCAATGCTTTTTTCATATAGTTTTGAGTTGCCATTTTAGTGTAACCTCTAAGTTGTTATGATGCAAGACAGCATGTTATACCAGACTGGTTTATAGTAGTTTTTGGCAGAATTTGGACCATTGCAGGATGCTGTGTTTTGGACTGATTTGCATCATTTTTTTGGTAGAATTGGGATTGTTGCAGGTTGCTGTTTTGGACAGCAAAAGTTCCATAAAAATTAGAATGTTATTATGTTGAAACATGGCTAGAAATATAGTTTTGATTTTATGTACAAACTTATAATTCCTCTTGTAACTTTGTAGTGATAATTCCAAATAAAATTGTAACATGTAATTCTCTTGAATGAATATGAACAGAACTTTTTTGACTTGGATGAATCATGGGTGAAACTTGAAGAATTATCAAAATTATAACAAGTCTTGAATTTAAATGTGACTTGAAATACTTCATTTGAATTTGGAATGAATTTGTCTTGAAATTTGGGGTCTTCCATTTAAAATGGAGTTAATCTCATGCCTTGAATGACTTTAAAATATCGTACCCTTGAAAATAATCTTGAATAAATGCAATGTGATGAATGATTTGAATCTTGAATTAGCCATTTTGATAACTTCTATTTAGTTAACATTTGAATTCATATGATGAAAATTACAAATACTCTAAAATAAATTCTTCCAAAGCGATCTTGAACTTAATCACCCCCACACTAACAAAATTCACCCCGCATCATGTAAGTATAAGAAATCGCACCATACTTAAAAGCTTCGAATGATCATTAGAAGAAGGAATTGAGGCAAAATGTTATCGCATTGAGAATACTTAGAGATCAAGAAAATCTTAAATCATGACAAACGTCCTATAAAGTCTTTTCATGGCTTTCTAAACACAATTTGTCTTCAACTTTTAAAGAAAACTTGCAGATGACTTTTGGTCGTAGTGTTTGGAATTGACTCGCATAGCCTGATCTATTCTTGTATTTCAAGGCAAGGTGAAACACACGTGAACAAGTGAACATGTAACCTATACTGTTTTAATGAAGAATTTCGAAGAAGCTTGAGGCCAATTGTTGAACAGATCATGGAAATAAACACACGATTCTCAGAAAGTTCCCCGAAACCATCTATCACGCTCTAGACATCTGTGATCAAAATGAGCTTGAACTATGTTTGAGACTCTATGCTCTGAGGTTAGAAGTTGTGCCTTGATGAATCAGTCTTCGAGAATCAATGATCAATTGTAATTCTGGCTTGAGAGACTCAAAACCCTAATTGAGGCATGACGCCTGATGCTCTTGATTCGAACCTGTTTCTGCACATAAAATCAAAGAAACAAAAAAAAACATACACTTCGTGCTTGATTAGAAGTTAGTCATGCATAAGACAAAATGTTCACAACACTCGATAGTCTCTACACATGCAATACTCGAAGGTGAGAAGTTCGAAACCGACCATATCTCATGACCTTGATTTTTGTATAAAAATGTAAATGAAGATGGGATCTTAGGTCAAAAATTAGGGTATCACAGCAGTCCTCAGTTTGGTGTCCCCAGATTCAGTGATACATACACCAAGCCTCATTGAATCCCCCAAGATTGTGTTTACTCCATGAGGACGCCAAGGTCTAGGCAGAAAGTTGAGGTGATTTACATCTCTCCATATATCCTCTCTTCTGGAATTTAGAGGAGTGAGGTATTCGTTTGAAACCAAAGGTCATCGAGATTGCTGGTGAGGAGGTCGCTCCCTAGGTGGTGGTCGATCATGGGACCTGGTTTTCTCCTTCGTCTGCCCTGAAGCTTCTTCCAAGATCCTTCCTTTTTATCTAGCGTCTCTAGTTCTCTTTTCTATGTTACTCTCTACTCCTTTTACATAACACTCGGCCCGAGTGATTATCTCATCCATGCTGGCAGCCGGTTTCTAGGCCGATGACTCATTGAATTTGCCAGCTCGTAGACCATGCTGGAAAGCTGCCACAAATATCTCCTGATTAGGATGAGAGACCTTTGTGGTTTCCTCGTTGAACCGGGCCATGTAATCCTCTAGGGATTCTGACTGAAGCTGACAAACATTAAACAACATTGTTATCGACACCTTTCGGTGCTGGCTTGCTAAGAACTGATGAACCATCTTCTTGGTGAAGTCCTGGCAGCTGATAACAGAGTGCTCGAGAAGGCTCATTTACCACCTCAGGGTCGATTCCTTGAAGGTTCCGACCATAAGCTTTCATTTCAGCGTATCATTAGCCCCGATTATTTCCATCATATTATTAACAACAATGATATGTTCATAGGGATCAAATTTGTCGTCGTATGTTGTAAATATCAGCGATTTGAAATTCTCTGGAACTTGATCGTCCCAAATAGCATGGGATAATGGCTGAGGCTCCAAAAGCTTAAGCCCCTGGTCGCCATCGTCTTGGCTTTTCATCTGTAAGACATGGATGATGTCCTGCAGCGTATTATTCTAATGGCAAAGATCCTCGATCATGGCTATGATACGGTGGGAGAACTGACTTAGGTGTTTTGCGTTTTATCACAAATGTTGCAGTTAGCAAGAGTCGCCATCGACTTTTCTTTTATCTAAAAGGAAAGGCTGAAAAGAACAGGAAAGACCTTTGAGATTATTTCTTGAGTTCATGGGGTAGATTATGAAAAGGAAAGGTGTTAGCACCTTTTTCATCCATAGTTATCTATGGGATCTTAGTTTCTTGCTAGATCACTTGATTTTGTTTGAAAATGTTCTTTGTGTGGTTTTTGAAAGTATTTTGAAAAGGCACCATTGTTTATGCAAACTTTGTAATAGTTCTCGTTCGTAAGAACGTATACAAAGTGTTGGGCTTTTGAAAATATTCCATGTTTGGAAAGTGTTTTTGAAAGTGCTTGGTGTTTGTTTTGAAAATAAGCAAGGATGTTTCTTTTGAAAGTGATCAAGCAACTAGGAACAATCTACCTACTCAAAAGTCTTTGTTCATTTCTTCCTTTCCTTTGATATTGCTATCTTACTAATTGGTAAGAAGCCTTATCTTTGGATATAAAGGGACGGGCGTGGATCATTGTATAGTCATGATAACAATGTTGTGAGCTATCTTAGCATTTTTCTTTTAGGGACTAAGATCATTTTGAAAGGCAATATTTGATAGCGTCATCGAGGGACTATGATCTTGTATTTTTTATTGCTTTTACTAAGATATCCCACATGCATAACATGGCCATTTTTGTAAGGAAATAAAGTGGAATTATCCTAAGGGTGTAAGTGTGCAAGTGTATTTGATTTACATGCATTGTTTATCTTGAATTAGGGTTTTCTACTTGTTGGTTTTAGTCTTTCCATACAAATCCTAATTACTAATATTTACATAAAGCGATAAATTGAGGAAAGTAAAACTACTACACTATTACATCATTAGGGGGGGGGGGGGGGGGTATAGAAATTTACAAATGGGGATTTGTAAGAAAATTAAACCTAATTATCTATTACAATCATATTGAATGATATACAAGAATTGAATAAATGTACAAAAAGATAAATGGAAAAGAAATGATTTTGTTTGGTTTTTTTGTTAAGGGTTTTAATTTTTACCTAATTAAGGAAAGGATTAATTATAATTAAATAAAATTAAACCTAAACTAATTAAGAAAAGAAATTAAGTTTGAAATATTTTTTAGGGTTTTTTTTATGAAAAAGGTTTTAACTTAAAGAAAATAATATGAAAATTAATTAATTAAAAGAAACCTAAATTCTAAGTTAATTTTAATTTAAAAGAAAATAAAACAATAAACCTATGTCTAAATATTAATTATTTAAGAAAAAAGAAATTAATTTGTTAAGAAAATTGTTTTTGGTCTTTTTGTTTTATAAAGAAAAATAAAATATAAATGAGTATTTTTAAATATTTAAATAAACAAATAAAATATTTTTTTGGTTTTATTAATAAAAATAATAATAAAAAAATAATAAGAAAACTGAAACACAATAAAAAAAGAAAAAAAGAAAATGAAAGTAAATAAAATAATAAAAAGAATTTGGGCTAGCATGCAAAAGTAAACAGGGGGGTTAAAAGTCAGCAAAAAAACAAAGCCCAATGACTTAGGCCCATGCGCTGCTGGCTAGAACAAAAAAAAGAGGGAAAATGTGATTAAAATGCACAAAAGGTAGCGTTGGGTGTTGAACCCCTAACCCTTAGCATACATGTGCGCTACCTTTGCCACTGGGTGGCTGTACATCCGGTAACATTGATGAAATAATAAATACATAACATAATTCATGTCCTGAATGTGACTTCATCTTCAACCTCCATCCTGAACATCTGTAACTCCACCATTTCTCAATAAAAATGAAATATGCAAACATGAAAGTTGCTCCATTTTTCCATAGGAATCCAACCATATAAATATCATAAGCTATAAATCAAAGATGAATGAGAATTTCTAAAAGTACCAAATTCTGACCTAATTATTTTCAGAGATTCAAACCTAAAATTCTCTAAGCTCAATCAATATAAATGAAATCTATGGACATGTACAGCTTCAGGGCAATGATGTCTACATTTTATATTCACA